TCCCAAAAATGGCGGCGTGAGAAAGGTCAATTACTTGTCATAAGATTCAGGAACAACTAAGCGTTAATTGGGTTTTGTTGGGCCAACAGAAAACCCAACGCAAACACGCTGTTCGTAAATCGCGACAGGTGTAAATATAAGAGCTTGGCTAGCTACCGTTTGGCCTCTTGATCAATCAGTAAAGCATCACTAATGTTTCGGTGACAGTATTCGATCATGCATCTCTCCTAGCGGCCAGGTGGTGTTCAAGAAAATCCCTTTTATGTATGTCCGTCTTCAGATGGTTAAACTGCTGCCGAGTGATTTTGTTTTGAAATTTTTGACGCTGTTTGGTTACACAATCTGACAATCAACAGTTTATAGAGTGCTCTGAGTGACGAGTGTGAAACACAATCTTGAGCAACATTGCTTGGTGTTTTGCATCCGATTCAGTAACTACCCGACTAAAAATTTATATAAGAAAATGGTTGTTTTTAAACCTTGTTGTTAATAGTGCAGGACCAAGCGTAGATTAAAGTGTGTCATGTGCAACGATTCATTACTTGGACGCGCTCGGAGAAATACCCGATTTAAATAAAAATGCCACTGAAACATTAGGAAATGAATGCTTTATTCATCCTCAGATTGCCATAATTTCAAAATAAATCTTTTCGGGCAGCCGTTTATATTCCCTATCATTCTCGTCCCCAGAACCATTTTCACTCGGTCACTCGTTGAAAATTAGGCTCTGGGTTAGACGACTAAACTAAAGGGAGAGTTATGATTGGCTTCTCAGAGAACTGCTATTTCGCAAAAGTTGAGCAATTTTCGCTAGGAAAAAATTTTCAATAAAAATATAGCCCGCGTGCAGGCCCAAGGGAACTGATAGTGGGCCTGCAAGCAAGGCCCAGTATTTTGTAAAACGCCCCTTTTTATAACACGCCCCATTCGCGCGTCAATTGTCAAAAAAGAACCAATGACAGTAACCCAAATATTAACAAACAAACTCGCATTAAAATGTTGCGGGGTTTTCTCTGCTTTAATATTCAAAATAGAAACAATGTGTAAATGCCTGTGTTAAAACTCAAAAAAAAAACAAGCAACGCAGTCAGTAATTGCCAAATTTACAAGTGCTCATTTTCAACTAAAATCGGAACAGGCAAATTAGGACGAATTTCAACAGAAAACCAGTCTCGAACTTCAAATCGTGAGGGAAGTCGTGCGACCACATCAGCATTTATAATGTGTGCTTCGCTGTCGCCATTGTTATAAATAAATTGTCTCACTTATCAGATCGTGTGTGCAATTCTTGTTGGCGGCGGAAAGTACGAAATTTATTTCAGTTATTTCATTTGGTGAGAACTCTACGAAAGAAGAGAGCGTTCAGAGTCCAGATCGTTTCGTTTCAAACGGCAATTTAATACCGTCTTATCTTTTGCTCTCTCAGCGAAGCCTTGTAAATCGCAAAGTATTTTGAATAGTACATGCAACTGCATCTCAACATCAACCAAAGAAAATTTTCTTGAGGAACATATAACGTATCAAGTCTGTTTGAAATTAATTAAACTCAAGTAAAGGTTACTATAGTTTTATACCCCATTCGTAATAAACAGGGCCGTAGTAACCGGGGGGCTGGGGGGG